ACCGTTATCAGCTGGTACGAGCTCTCACGATTGTGCTTTGTGAACTCATTCTAATGCTGATCCATTACGGAGATCGCCTAAAGAGGCAGGTGTATAAGTTACATTGAACGCACGGAACAAATCACAGCAGGTATCAAATCGTTCTAGAAGATATAAACTCAGACCCCAGGTTCTGAATTGACCAGGCTACCTCCTTGTATGTGGCAAATATAGTCAGAGCAAAGGCCAATCGGTAGCACACTTGTGTATTGTGTACGGATAGGTCTGTATTCACCCGATTATGGAAAGCTGTCGTGCATACAGTGTAATGACCCTAGTGCGTCCAAAGACCAGCCCAGTCACCAATACCACCTCAATTGCAGCACCCACAAGAGTGATAAAGACAATTGCGAGGCCTTGCCCTTCCAACGATATCCACCTTACCAGCCTCATCACACAATCATATCCCCAATCTCAAATATACCCCCCAAAACCCACCTTTCAACCGTGGTCCTTCATCTCTATCAAAATTCATTAAACCAAATCATTCTCATTTGTCAAGCGAATTCACCACCAACAAATAATCATCTCCTCTTTGGTCCACAATAGGAAGGTAACGTTGCGCCAAGAGTTTGAGAATGTTGCCAAGCAGCAAATCCGATAAGAAATTAGTCGCGCGAGCAGTAAAACAAGAGAGTCAGAGGCGAACAAAGCTTTTGGGGAACTCGGGTATCAGCGAACGGTGAACTCGGCTCACTAATGACTATCTACCACTGGACTGGAACAGGAACAATTCTATCCTAGGCCACCCGGGATAACCAGCTGGCAAAAGATATTATGTCAAGAACGCGAGACCGAGAAGACTGGGCATACGAAGTTGGATTAATGGAACTGTCGCCAGCTCTTTTCACCTGCCAAATAAAGGTTTGATTTGTTTACCGAGTCGACTTGGCAATACTGGGTACAGGTAGAAGTTTATGTACCTATTCAGATGAGCCGCCCGTCTTTTCATAACCTATCCAGTCTTACTTCATATTACCGATAGATCTAGCCAACAAGCATTTCCCTCTTCTTGGTATCAAGGCAAGGTAAGGTGGTTTGGTTTTGGTGGCGGGAAAGCCATCCGGGGTCTGTCTTTTTATCTATCCCCAGAATCATCGGGGATAGCTAGGATTTGATAATAAGCAATTGAAGCACTAGATTTAAACATGAATGTCGTGATCGATGAGTGGATAGAATTATTTCATGGCGTTGGAGGCGTTTGAAATTTATACCTGATGGGGGTTTTTGGACCGAGATGGGAGTACCATCCTCGTCACCTCGGTCCTTTTTTGCAATTACGATAAGCAAAAAACGAGATATGGTGAAATATTGGGAGATTGTGAGGATATTATCATAATTTATTGTGTTTGATTATTTGTGTATATTTTAATGCAACTAATAATAGATACATAAGTGTAAAACAATGTACTAATCCCCAAGATAAAATGCCACCCACGTGTCTCTATACCCTTAAAAGTATGAAATCGCCTCCTCGTCTGTTCATTCCAGATATACTGGTAGATATGAACTGATAACCTTATATAATGGATGAAATACGAGATAGAGATAGGCGTAGGATGCAAGCTATTGATATATGATAAGAAATAAATGGAGAACCCGAAGCCCTCCACCGAGTCCGAGTTCATCCATACCGTATCTCGATCTTTCGATTCTCAAAGATTATCTCCTCTCTCTCTCCCTCTCTCCTCTCCTCCACATCAAAAAAATAAATCATGATCACATCCCGAGCTCTCAAGTAGGTACCATCTGCAAGCCCGAGGCGAAGCTTTGGAAGCTTCTCTAAGAATTCTTGGAGACGAGCCACTTAGCAGCCAAATCAATCATAACGTTGCACTGATTTGCCAAGTGTGTAACGATATCTGAGTAGTGACATACGATACGGGCCACAAGGTCAGAATCATGAACTCAAATCAGTAACCCAGGTTAACGAAGGCTGAAAGCCGTATGCTTATTTGCCTGATACCAAAAGCTGGGTAAGGAACATATTGTTATCCGGCGCTTGTGTCTGAAGCTGATAGTGAGTAACAAAACAAGCAATACAAAGATTGAAGATATGGTAAGACAACTCGCAGCGAAGGGAAACGAAACAATCAAAAGAACTCTATTCAAGCGCACGAGTAATGTTCTCAAGCCATCAATCAATCAAAACATGCCCATTCAAAAGCACCAGTAATCATCACATACTCGTGATGTATCTTTTAGGTTCTGACCTGCGGATGAAGGAATCTGCCTATGCATCGCTAGGTAAGGGTAAGCACGAGGATATCGTTTAGATGAATGCGGAAACTCCTCCGGCGGGCGATACGAATTGAATTCCTTATCTCGACAACCATCTTCATTCAGACAGACCTCATGAGTGTCAGCCAGCGATCCGGCAGGCAAGCAAGCAGTTGGGACTTGGAACTTGGAACTTGGAACTTGGAAACATTGATTGGAATATTGACAATACCGGGTACACACGCTCAACATCGCTCTTGCACGGAATGGAATAGCCGAATTGCTGAAAGCTTTCTCACCATGTTGAATACTGAACCAACGAGATTGATGAATTCGGGAATTATTGAATGATAAAGAGAAATGATATAATACGATGGATGGATGGATGAATGAATGGATGGATGTGATCATAATGATGTGCCTGCAGACTTGGCATCCAACTCGTTATCTGGTAACTATTCCGAAATCCGAAGAGATGATATCAATTCATCTGCCTAGTATTCACTTGAATATGCATCCATTGCATCACATCCATTGCATCACATCTAACAAATTGTCAACTTCAACAATTCATCCATTTTATCATAGAAGTGATGCAAAGAAATCAAGAAATCAAAGAATTTAAGAATTCAAACAAGAAGAAACGTTAACATTTAGAAACAGAGAAACATCTCAATAGTCATTCATTATTCATCAATCAAATATGAGTCAACCGGTCAGTATGTCACTCACTACCTGCCCGTCTACTTGAAATATAATAAACAGATAGGAGATTATTTACAACCCTGCTTTTAATACTCGAGTCTATCTATGTATGGGTATGAGATTACATATAAAATTACATGTAAGATTATATAGAATACCTACAAATAGATGTCAACAGTCGTCAAGATAGCAAGTAAGTAAGCTATCGAAAATAAAGATATCTTAACCTCTTATAAGTTGGAGGAAGTGCCTTACTCACACCTTATATACTACATACTTAATTTCATATTCCCTCTTCCCTACCCTCTCTTCTAATTCTCGGTTCTCAGTTAGTCTTCGTCCTCGTTTATAATCTTTATATCTTTTACTTTATTACTTTGTTACTTTACTATATATAAGGACTACGAATGCAGTTTATGGTCTTGTTAATTCATTATCTCCATACATCTCATAATCATCCAACCTTGAATTCATTCAATCTCAATATATTTCTAATCATAATTCCATTTTATTCAACTTAATATCTCACCCAACTTCAGCATCTCAATACAATTCACTTCAATATCTAATATCATCTAATCTCAACAATCACAATCATAATATCTTCACTCAACTTCAATTTCATACGACTTTATATTCATTCAAATGTAACCTGTCAGTATAAATATAATTCAATATTTTCACCAAATCTCAATAATCTTAATAATCTCAACAACCTCAATATCTCATCCAACCTCAATACTTCAATTAATTTCAAATTTATTCATCTCATAATCTTTATATTCAATTCATATCTAAACTTAATATTCTAACATCTTTATACAATCTCCATATTTTTTATACAAATTTAACATCTCACCCAACATCAATATCTTTATTCAATCTCTATATCTCATCCTATTTTAATTATTTTCTCATTCAATCTTCTATTTCTACAACTTCAAATTCACACAACCTCAATATCTGATACAACTTCACACTTATACAAATTCATTTTATCCAAGTTAATTATCATCTAACATCACATTCATTCCAACTCCAATTGCATTCAACTCTACATCCATACAACATTATATTCACACAATTTCAATTTCAACCTATCAGTCCAAACACAATTCAACATCTCAATAATCTAATAACCTCATTATCTCCGTACATTTTATAATCATATTCTTCCATTCTATTCATCTTCAGCATCTCAATCCCAATATCCCAATCTCTCACCATCTCATCCAATCTCCATATCTTATCTCACTCAATCTCAATACACTCATCTACCCTCAATATCTTAATCCAATCTCCATATTTCATCTCATATCAACATCTCAATTACCTTTCATCTTATATATATATATATATATATATATCTATAACTCCATATCCCACAACTTCATTCTCTCACAATTCCATCCATCTCAACTCCCTTAAATATCCACACAACTTTCACAATTATACAACTTCACTTTACATAACTTCATAACTTCATATCTCCATATCCTACAACTTCAGTATCTTACCCGATCTCAATATCTCCCAATTTCATCATCTCACAATTTCATTCTCTTAACTCACACTCACTTGAATATTCATACACCTCAACATCATCATACTCACCCCTCAACACAATTCAATATCTCATCTAATCTAATCTCACCTCAAAAACCTCAAATCTCAAAACCACAACCAGCTCCATAGCCACAATCACAACCATAACTATAACTATAACTGTAACCAGCTCCATAACTACAACCACAATTACAACTTAAGGAAGAAGAGAAAAGAAGAGGTTACAAATGAGATCATCTATCAAGATGATCTTCATAAATCAAATCTCAAATCTCAAATCTCAAATCTCAAATCTCAAAATCAAATACGAATATATATTCGGAAAAAATGATATACATTATATATATTCAGTTATTTATTCAATTAATGAAAAACACATCCTTCTCTTCCCAAAGTCTTCGATGCAAATCCAGACGCAAAACTCAGCTTCTACTTCATCAAATCAATCACTCCTCATTCCCTCTTCACCTTCACCCCTCTCTTCTATATCCAATTCCATACTCCATACTCCGCACATCCCAAACCCCACCCTTCCTACACCCCTCCACAAACTCTCTCACACCCTTCGCCCTCCTCCCAATAATCCCCTCCAAATCTCCCCCCAACCAAGCCTCTTCACCTCTCTTAACCGCACTGTCAAGCTCGCCCAAAACCCCCGCCAATCCCTCCTCCACCCCACCATCTACCATCCCCTTGACAATCTCCTCTTCCTCCACATCCACATGAATAATCTCTCTCTCCAACACATCCGTGAGCGCAGCAATCTCATCATAAGACCATAATTCTGCTCCCCTCAAAACTAATTCCTTCCCCATCAAACCCCTCACAAACTCATCACTTCTCCACCCAATCAAAGCTTTGTAAGCCACATTTGCGATATCCTCTACACTCACAAGCGGGATTTTCCCTTTCCCCGTTGCTGAAAGTAACCGATTTTCATCGCGAATGGTGTATAGATGGTGCATTTCCGAGAAATTTTCCATAAACCAACTCGGTTTCAATATCGTCCATTCCACTGCGTTCGTGTCGATATCATCCGGTCTTGAATCATCTCCTCGAGGTTTCCTTCCCTTCCCTTTTATATACTCAGATATCTGAGATAAAATCGGTCCATCCCCACAAACGTTGTATACTCCCACTCAGAAATACAATTCTCCTTACTCCTCTCTTGATTACTCCATCAATGAACCTTTTAGCCAGAGGAAGTGCATCGAGAACAGGAGGAGCGATCATGAAAACCGCTTCGATTGAAATTTCCTTTGCGTCGCCACCCCCCTCGGATGAGATAAAAGGATTATCATAAGTATTCGTATCCAACCAATCAAACTTAACCCCTTTAGTATTTGAAAGTGACGCTAGAGATGATCCAGATCGAGATATTAAGATAACGTTATATCCATCGACAGAAAGGAGAGGAGCGATTCGTCGAGCGGCCTTTCCCGTACCACCGAAAGTAAAATAGTAGCCTTATCCGTTCCGCCATTCTTCACTCCAATATCGGTACCCTTGATCTCATTCCTGTCCATCTTTCGAAAATCCGGCTCGGCTGTGGCGTCCTATCTATTTCTCCGCAATCCTTGGTCAACACCCTTGAGTTCAATCGAGAATTCGAAAATTCGGGGTTTTATCCTTGATGGATAAGATGGTGGGGAAGTCGAAGGAAAGTAGAACCTATCAAATACCCCAAGAGTTCATTTGGACGATCCAATTACAGGCATGATTCATGTCCACTCAAAGTCCCTGCGTATCTGCATGATTTTCACACCATTGTAATATCCATGACTTTAGTCACTTGAATTGCATACCCGAAGAAAGCCGGACCACTTTACCCCTCCGTTTGATGGCGAACTCCGGTCCGTCCGTAAATCGAACAATTTTCGTTTCGAATTTCGAACTCTGGTGGTGGGGTTGTCTTCAAATTTTATATACCTCACAAAGTATATCTTCAAGCAAGAATAAATCTACAATTTCGTCAATAAGGTTTCGTGAAGACAAGGAAATGTGATCAATAAAGACAAACTTACATGTGAATTCCCATTTGTTGTTGAACTTCTCTCCAATCAAATTTGCGTTCATATTGGTGTTGCCTTCTCCAAAGGATTTCAAGTAATTCCAAAGCTCGATCAGCGTGCTGTATAATTTTTATTAGCTTCAATCCAGAGACTCTTCCCCCCATTATCTTTCCCATCGTGTCCATACAGAGGAAACTTACATAAAGTGCAATCCTAGTATCAGCCTTCAACTTCTTCCTAATAGTATCCTCTACCACCCAATCATTAAAGATACTTGCTCCTGCTGCAAACAATCCATAATACAAACCCATCTCCAAACCGTAACCCTCTGGTGTCTCAGCAGCAATATCCAGAACCTGTGTGATTGCCTCTGAAACTTCTGGAGAAGGTGGTTCTTCACCAACTGGGTTGATAATATGATGAATAAAAAGAATGCATCCGTACATGCAAGCTTTTGTACTAGAGAATGCTTCAGCTTCGAGAGTTTCCGCGACGGTGAGTTTAGTATCGCGTGGCTGTCGTCGCCAATCGTTAGAAAGATCCCGGAGCACAGGGGGACAATTTTGCCACCACATTTGAACTTCATGTTGGATTCCAAGGGCTTCTTGTTTAATGATGATTTGTTCTTCGACTGATATTTCGACAAGGGAACGACTGGATAGACGAGATAACTTGGCCATAAATATCATGAAGACGTGGAATTCTCCAGTCATAACACCTCCAGGATCATAATATGGCCAATTCAAAGCTGGTTCTGCTGATGAAGGTGAATCGCCAATTTGTTTTGGACTCGTTGATAGTGTCGGGGCATCTTCGAGCCAATAATTCCCAGGTAATAAAGGACCTTGTCCTGCCCAAAGGGAACCAGAAACATCAAGTAATGCAAAGAATCTTGTGAGGAAATCCGAAGTTTTAGGACCTCCTCGATGCAAGATTAGGTCTCGCGCACCTTTGAGATGCTCCAGCCATAATCCTCTATCTGAATGTGATATCTGTTTTTTGTAAGCCAAGTGTACCATAATATGAGGAGATGGAAAAAGCGATTTACCTCGTAAACACATAATAGCAGACAAGCACCCAATGTGGCATTTTGTTTCGCAACTAAATTGTCACATAATGCTTTGTTAAGTTCTCTCAGAGCCATGGCATAATGTTTGGTGGCCTTAACCTCATGCTGCTTGTCAGTCCTACTCATATGGCCTGCTGCCACTGCGATAATACTATGTAATAGAGCCGGACTGGTCGTTACAAATGGTACCAATTCTTCCTTGAAAGGGTTCCCTTCATCATCATTTGCATATGCCAAGAATCTGGTGCAAAACCCCACAAAATGATGAATATAGGGCATAGTCGTTTTATCGATATTGGGAAATTCAATAACGAACGAATCTTTGGGAATACGTGTTTTACCAAGCGCAAGCTGTTGGGTGGTAGGTAGTGAGCTGGTACTGGAGATTCCATGACCATGAGATGTCGTGGCGAGCATGTGAGCTGGAGGTGTACTCCATTTACAATCGCGTTGAAGGCGAATACAGCGACCACAATCAGGTTTTCCTTCATCACATTTCACTTTCCTTGCTCGACATGTTAAGCAACCTTGAACGCGTCAGAATTGAAGCCAGAAGCCAGAAGCCAGAAGCCATATGCCCATTGCCATATGGATGAGATTGACGCTTGATGTGTGAAAGGAACGTGAACGGACCTGTTCTTGTTCGAGGTACAGGGGCTTTAATGCCCATTCCCGGAGCCATATTTACTTTGGTATTAGAGGCATTCAAATTCGTTTCCCCTTTGTACATATCAAGGAAGGGATGGTTGTAGTGTTGAGTGGACAGAGGATATAACACGTTGAAGTTGTCGACGTTTTCCGATATTGAATGATGCACCGAGTAGTTGATTTGTAAAAGCAAAAAAAGAGTCAATGCAACACGAACACAGTTGTAGTGACTCGTGAGTAAAGTCCACTTTCTTTGAGGTTGCAGTTTTGTGATGGCCTGTCGATCGATTAACCAGGTGTGAGTAACCTGGGACCTAAGCTTTACTTGAAGAAGATTGGAATGTATACGACAGAGCCACTTTTGAAGCTTTTCATACTTTTCATTGGACCAGTCCGGTCCCGAGAATAAATAACACTCAATATTTCAATGTTTGGACATCCATCTGTACGAAGCTGAAAAGGAATCAGAAAAGGAGTACCCCGTATCATACCTAGTAAATGATAATCTATATGAAATTTCTGCAAAAGAGATTAATCATTGTATGACATACAATTGTATAGAAAATTCGTCTAATTGGCATGAACCCCTTCATCGCTCCATCTCTTGATCTCGTCCAGATTTACCGGTACGACACTTCCTAAATTCAAAATCTTGAAAGATAAACATCTAAAGCCATCAAGATCTCTGATCCTTCGTCATAGACTCCAGAGTCTTTGACTTTGATATTGATCATGTGGGTTCCAACTTGATTTCTGTACTCCTGACGGGTCAACTATCCTTTTCTCCAACATTAGAGTTTCATCGACCAAAGAATTACCTTATGATTATTGGTTCATTCTCCAATATTTCAAATTAGTGCGGGGTGATCAAACCTTGTAAAAATTCCTTTGGTTTTGAGATAGTTGGGAATAGACTGCGGTATTTCTACCTGCAAGAGTCTGAATCGAGAAATTATATATGCCGGAAGGGAGGAAAGGAGGCCCGTGGGAAGATCTGGAAAACTATGGAAGGTCGAAGATGGGGGATTTTGTTCATGGATGAATGGGTAAGGTAGGCAAAGCATTCAAATCCTAATATCGTGTACCTTGTAGCATGTTCATCCACCAGTATATGTTCATGTTCATGTTCAATGGATCAAAAGACTGTCATTCTAGACATGTACGTAAATCAAATTAAAATCTAAACTATATCTTTAAACATAAGTGAGTACTCTGTAAGAATGCATCAACATGTAGAAATCATCATCATAACCCTGAACCATACGCCCATTATGTCGACTTATCCAATCTTCTACTACTCTCTGTAGAATCAGATCTGCCTGTGTTCAGATCGTTATCTCTAATCTTTTGTAAATCCGACCTCTCTCTCTCCAAATATTCTGCGCATTCAACTCGACTCTTGGTCTCACTGATCCAAAAGATTGCAATCGTAGGAACAAAGATCAAAGCTGCCACGAAAGGAAATGCTGCCCATTGATTGCCATCGCGATCAACAATAGCACTTGAAACAATAGGTCCAATCCAGGCTGATCCCTTGGAGACGATACCTAAAAGACTGAAGAACAAATATTCTCTACCTTTGGGTACTAATTCTGCCATGAATGCTTGCCCGTATGGGAATTGAGCACCAAGGGTAATTCCATATTGTGCTTGAAAGAGCCAAAATTCCCATTCGTTATGGAAACCAAACTTGGTAGTCCAGATACCTATCATTCCCCAAAGCGCAATGAGTACACAACCACAATTGCAAAATTGAAGCATAGTCTTGGTACGGATCCTGAGTGTTTCTTGGAGATAATAGGCACCAAAGACTCCGATTGTAGTTGAGCCACCTTGAACCATGATGAGGTAGGTATTTTGTGTCGCGGAGAATTCAACAACTTGCGTTTGTGCGATCGAGACGAGTGTAAGTAATGTAGCGACTCCGTCTGCCAAAAGGAAAAATGCAATCAAATAGTAGAAAGTTTGTCTCAACTTCCATACTTGCTTTCCGGCGAAGTAGGTTTGCTTGAAACCAAAGGTGAGGTAATTGTCACCCTTTGGTAAAGGTGGTCCCGGTCGCTTCTTTTCCCAGATGAACCATGGAATGGCAAGAATAATCCACCATCCGGTAGTAACAGCGACAGAGACAGAGTATCCCCAATTGTTTTGTTGTGTAGAATCATTTGCACCGATTCCTGCTAGGGCTGCTAATGCTAGAGCTCCACAAATTGTGAATCCAACATTATTCCATCCATAACTTATATTCATTACCTTGGATCTTGCCATTGAGCATTTGTCTTCGTATTCTCGTTCTGTCAAGATGCCTTGTGCATAGTCTTCTCTCGCTTTATGAACTTCGGGAAGGTCGTGGGCAAGTTTGGGAAATATCGCGTTGAAGAAAACATAGGAAGACCACCAAGTAACACCTGGGGAAGATATTAGACACTGTGTATTTCTGCGATGCAATTGGAAACTTACTGCTAATAATGTAAAGAGCCATGGCGATTCTCCATTGATATGCATGTTGTACTCCTAAGAACCCGAATTCAAAGGCGAACGAAAGAAGGGAAAACAATCTGACAACCCATGGATTCCAGTTACCGAAATCTGCCAAACTTCCAATCGAGAGGAAAAGTACAGCTTGCGAAACGAAGGTCAATCCTGATGCTATCAACACCACCGATGTGTATGCTTTGGTGCCTCCATTCCAGAAGACATGGCAAGGGGTATCATCGCCGCAAGGTGCGCTACCCAATGGCAAGACGTTTGGATTAAAACCGGCTTGGTATATCAAGTTCTGGAAGAGAAGACTCGAGCTGAAGATCAATTGGTGTTAGTAATCGCATAATCTCGAGGGGTGGTTGTACAAGATGGAGGGACCAGTAAAACTTACTATTGAAAAGAGCCAATTCCATTGTTTCCTGCATAGTATGCATAATACGACCACAGTTCTTTCCTCGTCGCAGGTGGTCCTGTATCCTTTTGATGTGCATGAAAGACGCGATCTGATGGCGCAGTACCTATCTCAGTCCCAACTGTTCCATCTTCAGCGCTTTGGTAAGAATCTGGGGTAGCCACCGCAGTGAAAGGTAACTTGTCAACAGTTTCATGCTCCGCAGCCGTCATGATGAAGAAGTCTAGATAAAGCTAAGACAAAAGATACAGAAGCTAATCAAAAGAGAGTGGACATTGAAGAAGAGAGGAACCGGGAAAAGGTAGAAAGAAGTATGAACCCGACTCCCACAAACCTAGAAACTAGAATGTGCCCTGCAAATTTGAAAAGTATATTGGCCACAACGGTGTGTGTGATTCTTGACCAGAATGGTTACAAGTTGCGGAGTCCCGAGTTCAAAGCTTTTCAATAATCTCACTGGCTTCCGATTGAGGGAATGGTACGCAAGCCTCTTGGTGTTTCCCTTACCTAGTTCGCATAAGTGTGCGAACTCGAGGCGGAGAACACATGGCAGATGGCAGGGCAAGCCGACGATGTAACCGGAAATGGGTTGTTGAAGAAGCATTGATTTGCGCACTGGCTCAGTCTGGCTGGCTCTGATTGGGATTTTATTGGTTGATTAACATCGGCGGAACTCATGAAGGAGTTCATTCCCTTCACACCTTTTTTTTTTCTTCTCTTCTCATCTTTTCTTCCCTTGCTTGAATTTCCAGTGCTGGCGTCGATCCTTGTCATAGACCCATCATGCTCATTGTCGAGCCACTGTCGAGCCACTGTCGAGGGTTTGAATGAAAGTGTGAGGTAAGGAAAATCCCAGGATAACGGAAAGTCTAAATGAAAGGGTCTCCACTGCACGGCGTCCACCCGTTTGTTCTTCTTCTCCGTACGTGTATAAGGCTAGATAGCCGTAATCTGGTCCAGTGGGTGGAGCGAGTTCGAGCCAGTGATCACATGTTTTCCAGACTGCCGAGACTCCGCAGTACATACCGACTCGTGCTTGCTACCAAAACAACGGGTAAACCGCCTAAGATTGATTATTAATAGCCGTTGCTCATCCTTGATGAAAGAAATCTACCAGGAATATAGATATATACATACATGTACATGTATACATTTATATGTTCGGACGATGAGCTCATTTATCCCAGTCTCCTAGAGTCGCATTCTCCCAGGGAAGAGGAAAAAGGGACTCAAGGGAGGGAGGGGATCTCGAGGTAGTAGTAGTAAATTCTTAATCGATTCAGTCTATCTATAGCTAAGCTACGCTGACTATGGATCTCGAGGTATTACACCGTCATTATCCCCGAAATACCTGCGAGTCTGTGAGTCTGTGACAGGTTTGTTTCTCTTACCTATACATAATTAGTGCCTTAGGTTCTAGGTATCCATTTTTAATCTTTTATACTTCTGGGGAATCGGACCAAAGCATTCTGCCTTTCTTAATGGGAAGGCGGTCTCCAAACGACTTTTTCCACTCCACCCACCTTGGTCAAAGTGCCCAGGTGGCTAAATGCCTCAATGCATACTTCGTGCATACTCGGTTGCATAACTTTTATCCCATGACATCCACCCATCCACCCTGGCTTACTTCACTTCCTCTTCCCTCGTCTAGATAATTTCTAAATATACGCCAAATACACCCAATTCACTAAATACACCCAAATACACCAAATTCACTAAATACACCACTCAAATCCCTCCTTTACGGTCCTTTCTCATCTATTATCTTTTTAACTAATCTTCACTAATCTTCACTAACCTTCACTAACCTTCACCAACCTTCACTTACCTTCACTAAACTTTCACTAAACTTTCACTAACTTTCACTAATTCGACATAAATATCTATTCGAGTCATTTATGCTCGCCTATCTCCCATTTTATCTTCAAACACGACTCAAATTGATCAACTTCTTCTCCGAGAGCTCTTCATTTGGAAAGAATTGATCCAGTCAGAAGCTTTCAAATGATTTATTCATTAATAATACTATCTTCTATAATTTCTCTCGCCCACGCTCTCACCCTCTCCCAAGAAAGTCATATCACGAAAAAGTCAATCATGCAAAACACGCACGTCTACCAGTATCAATTCCTTGGTAAGCTGGGTTTGATGTATAGACTAGAGTCTAGAGTCTAGAGTCTAGATGGAAGGTACCACTCACATTTGATCACAATTCATCACAATTGACCACAATTGACCACAGTTCATCACTACTGCTCACTACTGCTCCCTCATGTCATACGCGTCGTCGGAAAGATAAAGAAATCAACCTTGAATGCCAAACTCCGTTCATCCATTCTCAAAATCCCTCCGTCGCATATCGTGCAGATTATCCAAACTCCACGTGGTACTGGAGCTGCCGAGTTACCTTATATGTGAACTTATCTCAAGGTTCCCACTCCTCGTTGGGTCTTCGCTCGCTCGCCTTACGCATACATACCAAAAAAGGATATCCTTACTTTGGTAGGCGAGGAGAGAAGACTATTATGTACGCAAATGATTGATATAATAAACCTCGAATTTTGATCATGTATGTTCAACTTTATTATATGTAGAAGATCTTATCATCCATTGCTTCCTTTTGTTCTTTTCGAAACTTTATCCATTATACCCTTTTCATTGTTTTTCTTTTTGGCAATACATTTTTGATATAAACTCGTGATACCCCAATTGTTTTTCGTCCTCGTCTACGACTAAAACTACAAACATCGACAGCGATATCGATATTGATATCGATTTCGATCCTTTCAGCAGTCAGCCTTCAGAATCCAGCACATATTGGCAAAATGCCTTCCAGAATATGTTCTCGTGTAATTGGAATTGATGTTGGAGGAACCAACACAGTGGGTGACGATTGAAGTATATTTTCATTAACATCTACTAATGATTGATTGTAGGATGCAGTTATTTTACAGGATGATAATGTATTGGCATGGCATAAAACACCAACAACCCCAGATATTCAAGATGGTGTTGAACAAGCAATTGCTGCTGTCATAAAAAAAGCTCAAATCTCTAAAGATAGTATAGACTTCATCAAGATCGGGACGACAGTAAGTTGATTCTGTCTTCAGTACTTACTACTCACTTCCTACTTCCCATCCTTTCCTTTCCTCGAGTTTCGTATAGAGAATCGTGCGTAAGAACATTCGATTCCCTCTGCGTTCCAAAGTCTCCCCAGCAAAAAGTCTCATGTTGGTCCTTCCCGGAGTATACTGGTGTTTGACTCTACTCTTTCCCTATCTCTCTCATCGTTTATATTTTGGGATTCATAGTCAAGATCTAATCGCATCTTCTGTGTAGCAATTTGTGAATGCAGTCCTCGAACAAAATGCTACCAAGTTAGATAAAGTTGCTGTTATAAGGTTATGCGGTCCTTACTCGAGGGGCTCACCACCATTTGGTACGTTACATGCCGAATACTCTCCATTAAACAAAATGTTAGCTAACACTCAGGATCTCAGTTGGTTTCCCTGAATCATTAAGACAGTTAATGGAAGGTCACTATGGCTATGTTGACGGTGGCCTACAGGGTACGTTTGATACATGCCTTGAAACTTCCACATAGATACTAATAATTTCAAGTTGACGGAACCCCAATCTCCCAAATAAACGTTCAACAACTCAGAGAACAAGCTTCAATTATCAGATCGAAATCAATATCAAGTGTTGTGGTTATTGGAATATACTCTCCATCCAACCCAGCTCAAGAAGAGTTTGCGCGACACATCCTTGCCGAAGAATTAGGCTCAGAGTATGATATATCATGTTCATATACTATTGGAAGATTAGGATTCCTTGAGCGTGAGAATGCTAGCATATTAAATGCAAGCTTGAGACGATTCGCACGTCAAGTCATTGCCGGCTTTGCACACGCGGTACATGACCTCAAAAACGCCAGCTTATATATTACATTAAATGATGGAACTTTAAGTAAAGCATCAATAGCTGCAGAGCATCCAGTGAGATGTTTCTCTTCCGGTCCAACGAATAGTGCAATGGGTGCTGCACTTCTTGCAAAGAATGAGTGTATGGATCTTGAGGGCGATAGCGAAGTGCTAGTGGTGGATGTTGGAGGGTAAGAACTTTCTGCTTTAACATTTCTCGGCAATTATATTGACACATTATAGCACTACCACTGATATTTGCGCTCTTCTCAAATCTGGTTACCCCAGACAATCTGCCGCCTTTGTGAAAATCGCAGGGGTCAGGACCAATTTCACAATTCCTGATGTTTATAGCATTGCACTAGGTGGAGGGTCACTCATACGTACAACATCGTCAGGAAAAACAACAGTTGGTCCAGATTCTGTTGGTCCGAAATTGGAAATGGAGAGTATCGCATTTGGTGGAGAAACTTTAACTGTATGATTGAACCTTTTGAGCTTCAAGGAAGATACTTACATATTTAGGCTACCGATCTTGTATTGTCGAACGAGAGAACCGATATCATTCCAGACGAACTCAGAATTGGTGGACACTCAGAAATTCAACGAGCTTTGGAAGATGCGATTGATCAAGTAAAAACAAAACAAGGATATGCTACAGTCATTCTTGTAGGCGGAGGCAGTATTATTGTAGGGAAAGATATTGCCGGAGTGGGAGAAGTCATCAGACCAAAATATTTGGAAGTCGCAAATGCTGTTGGAGCCGCTGTAAGTTTAGTCCTGTCCTTTATCCCTGGGGAACGGAACTAATTTGATTGTGTAGGTTGGAAAGATTAGTGGGAGTGTTGATACTGTCGTTACACCCGGGGAAAAGACCATAGAAGAAGAGATTGAGGAGGCAAAACTACTGGCAATTCGAAGATGTGTAGCTGCAGGCGGCGACGAGAAAACCATCGAAGTTGTGGAAGTCGATACAATACCTATTAATTACGTTACCAATGGTTCTACGCAGTTGGTTGTTCGAGTGGTTGGTGATTTACGTAATACCGAAGAAAAAGTTCAAGATCTGGAGACTATGCCAATAACGATGTCGAAATTCAAACCTAGGAGAGCAGATTCCGGATATAGTGCAAGTGGCTTGGATAGTCCTGTGGATACGAAAGCTTCAACCTACGATATCCTTGAACATGTTGATCTAGAATCCTATCGTCCACGCCTCGAAGGCGATATATGGCATCTTTCAGTAATCGATCTCAAATTTCTCATGGACGGTACAGGAGTATTGGGCGTAGGAAGTTGTGGTGAACCATATCCAAGTTATATTGCTTGTTTAATTGCATTGGAGAGTGGTGAAGGACTGAGGATCAGAAGACAAGATACTGTTCCTGATGATGCATTAATCATGTCGGCAGGGTTTATGGTATGTTACTTCGGAAACCATTTGATGTGGAATTACTGATCATTGTAGGGTTCACCAACTGTATACTTGGAACGTATACCCGGGTTAAACGAGTAAGTTCCTTTTCATCGTTCGCAACTCATCATCTGCATACTGACAACTATTCTAGAATTACCGATACAGTCAAAGCTCTCATGTCAGCCACGGGACATTCCTCATTCGATGCAACTATACCTAACGAAATCGGTGGTATGAATTCTTTCGAAGCCCTCCTCACTGGTCATCGATTCGGAAAACCTACTCTCGACAGCGATTGTGTAGCACGAGCATATCCTATGGTTTGGCAGACAGTCAGATGTTTAAATGGGGTTTCAGTTACTCCAGCTGCTGTTGCCAATGGATGTGGAGGAACCGAAGTCTTCGTAAATTCAAAGGATGCTGAAGAAGCAGAACTTCTTATGCGGGATGCATGCACGAAACAAGGTTCATTATCAGGAATGGTAGTCAATCCAATACGTGGTAAAGAAGCCAGAACACTTCCTTCAAATAGTTATTCATGGGCATGGCA